GGTGGGGACGTGGGTGGCGAGGAGCTGGTACTGGGTGAGCGTGGCGTTGCAGGCACGGGCACAGATGAGCCGGGTCTTGCCCACCGCGTTGTCCCCGACCACGACGCACTTGATAGTTTCTACGTTTGGCCTCTCATAATCCATGTCAGAATCCATTAATTGGGACCTGCAGGGGGAAAGGTTGGGGGAGGATCAGCAAATACAGCTGGGATGAGCTGGGGGGCGGGATGGGATGGGGATGGGAAGGGGATGGGATGCCGAGGAGGGTTGAAGCAAGAAGAAGATGCTGATGCTCGTGCTGGGAGCCGCCAGCCCCTTGCAGCACCAGGACCAGGGGAAGATCTGCAGCGAGCGGCAGCCCTGGGGAAGGCAGCTGCCCACCCCTCCCAGCTCGCGCTCCCCGCCAGTCCCCTTTAAAATTTAATGTTCTCGTGGCAGCGTGCGTTGCTCTGCCGCGCGTCAGACACATGCCCTGCGTTAGATCCGACCCTCCTCCTCCCTCCCAGTCTCTCCGGCCCTGGCTCATGCTTGTTCATGTGAGATGAGGCTTTTTTTTTTTTTTCCTCCCTTTTTTTCCTCCCCTCCTCCTTTCCCCATTCTCCCTCTCCAGCGTTTTGCAAACGAAGCTTCCAGATCCACCCGTCTGCCAGCCTCTCCGGCTGCCGACCTGCCCCCCTTTTCTCACCCCATTCCCAGGGGGGATATTTGCTCCCAGTTTCTTACACAGAGACGCAAACAAGATGCAAAGAAGAAACTCGTTTTGTTTCCAGGAGCCAGGTCTGGGAAGGCTCCCAGCATCACCAGCCTCCCAGGACCCGTCCCAGGAGGGATGTCGGTGCTATGGGTGCCACGAAGCCGATGCAAAGCACCCGTATCCTGCGAGTGGGTGCACCCAGGTGTCCCCCCCTTTGCCTGTTCAGAGCCCCAGAGTCGAAATCAACCAGAAATAACCCATCACAGTGTCACGCCAGGGATTTACATGATTTCCAGGGGGGAAGAGCAAGGAGCAAGAGAGAAAGGAAAAAAAAAAAAAAAAAATAACCCTACATCCCAATTGCTCTGAACTTCCCAAAGCCACTCTTTGGATCTCTTCCCCCTTGTCACCCCCTCCTGGCACCGGCCTCCCCGGCCGCTATAATGAACCACCAGCGCAAAGGCTCAGGGAGCTCAAAAATACCCGGTAACGATGGCAACGAAGCCCTGCACGCGGGGACCAGGGACGCAGCTCCCGAAACTAGCAGCCTGGCAAGGACTTCCCAATGTTAGTGCCTCCCTCCCGCACACCAGCTCTCCGGGCACACCTGGGGACACCGGCCCCGAGGAGGTGACACGGGACAGGGCTCAGCATCCCGCAGGATCGGGCCACAAGCCGCAGGGACAAAGGCGGGTGGCACAAATCCAGGTCATCTTAGGTGCCAGCGCTTAGACATCGGCTGGTCCCAAGGCCAAACTTCTCCGAGGAGTTGTCACCGCATGCCGTGTCCCCTCCATCCTTTAGGATGCGGGGAACGCTGAGGGCATGGGAAACCAGGAGCAGCATCCTCCTTGGGCTCCGCACGGCACAAAGGAGTTTCGAGCAGGTTATCTCCTTCCCTGATAACCCCTGGAAATTCATTTTCCATCTCATACATCACCCTCCACCGCTGTCCCCGGTCCCCTACTCCTCCTGGGGACCAGTTTTGCTCCATAGGGCCAGGAGATCTCACTGCGGGGGGGTTGTTAGCACCGGAGGAGCTTCGCTGCGGTTATTTTTAGGGCCAGCTGTGCTCCTGAGTCA